TCGTGGCCTTGGTAGCCGATGTATTGTTTCTATAGGGTATGATCCCAGTAACTTTGATCATATCTTCAGAAGTTCCATAATATATGTGTCTAAGTCTTCAGTTGTTTCTGGTATATCTCGGATTTTGAGATTTTGTCTCCTTGATCTATCCTCAGTATCTGTGATTTTCACTTTAAGTTTAGCAATATTTTGAAGTTGTAAATCTGTATTATTTTGAGTTAGTTGTATATTTTCATGAGCCACTGTTGAGCGAATCTGGAAGATTTCCTCCTTCATTTCTGCTCGATTCCTTTATTTTACTGTATAAATTATCTAATGCTTGGTTTAGATTGATGTTTGTTATTGCAATTGAAGAATCTAAAGCACTTGAATCTAGGGTTTGATCCATCGAGGGGCTGGGAGATAATCCCTGAATATTTATCTGTGATTTAGGAGAATAAAAAGTACTGATTTTATCAGCTCATATCCAACTTATCACTTTTAGACGCCATTTCTTAAAAAAAATTAAAACCAGGAACATAAACAAGCGTTTTTTCAGCTTCTTGATATCCTTTAATCGGTGAGGTACTTTAGTAACTGGTTTTCTGCTGTTGATCCTCTGATTTGCAAATAAAGGAGACCCATAAATGCAATTCTGAGAATTTTGATGTGACAATCAAAATAAAATGTTTAAGATTTTGATTTTGTTTAATCAGTATAAGATTCCTCATTTACTGGTTTTCTACTATTAGCCTCTTCAATACATCCTCTTCGTTACACGTATAAAACCAAGACCAAGTACTTTTGAAAATGTCGATGTAACTTAGTCAATGTAATCTTCTTTGCTTACTAGGTTTATGCTATTAACCCCTTAAGGACCAAACTTCTGGAATAAAAGGGAATCATGACATGTCACAAGTCATGTGTCCTTAAGGGGTTAACCTCTTATTAACATAAAAGAAATCGGGAACAGGCATTTTGAGGATTTTTGATGTCACAATCCTCCTATACTGGTTTAGGTCGACCAACCAAATAGATCAATTTATATACAAAAATACTCTTCCCTTATATTTCCAGCTTTTTTTGACATTTTCTATTCTCGTTTTTTCCCATTATATAGCATTACAAATTGGCGTTTATCATTATGTTACTTCATCTGAGGAGCCAGAGTTTACATTACTCTCTGTGGTGAAGGAACTTAAAGAGTGTCCTTGAAGTATTGTTGGAGTATAGTTGTTTTTTCCACAGGGGATCAGCTTCATAAGCCCAGACATCCAGGCATTCCTCATGTGTCTCAGCAGTTAGTATAAGCATCGTGGTCTCAGCTTTCCATGTGGATGATAGCGTGGCTGATAGCTCTCAACACCGTTACGTGGTTAGAATGAGGGCAGCTGAATAAATAGTTCATTTGGAACCAGCTCGAGCTGACCTCTCAGACCTCCCAAAGCCAGCCTCTGTATACCACACAGCTCCGATAAAGCCCACGCCTGTATACCATACAGCCCCGATAAAGCCAGCCTCTGTATACCACACAGCTCCGATAAAGCCCACGCCTGTATACCATACAGCTCCGATAAAGCCAGCCTCTGTATACCACGCAGCTCCGATAAAGCCAGCCTGCAGCAGGGGATTCTGCACCCGTCCTTTCTTCCTCCCACGCCCACTCATCCGCACGCTCTACGTCATCACACGCCTCCTTCTATATTTTTGGGCCGATATTTTTTTAATCTGGTCCAATTTCCTCGGAAACTCCTGGTCCTCCCATACTATATTAATATTAAAACCCCGCAGCAAAGTGGACGGAGAAAGAGGCAATGTCTCCACCACTGTTCCCTCTAAGGTGTGTATGCGCACACACCTTTTTGGGAGTGAGTACAGAGGGTCTGAAGCTGCGCACAGATCCTTGCAGCGCCTGCCATAAGTTGGGGAGGGGGGCGCTGCAAGGAGCGGGCCAATGGCCTGTCACAGGGGGGCCCAGGAAGTGGTCGATATAGATGGGTAATGATATTTATTTCTGAGCTGATGTAACTTGTACCATTTAGTGCGATACCTATATGGTGATTGCTATACATGTAGATACCTCCTTTTGAAGCACCTGTGATACGATTGTAACTCAAGTAGAGTTTGCATTTGGATTGCATGGACGTGCATAACTGAAAATACCCCCTGGAATGCAAGAAAAAGTGGACACTGAAACGTACAGAAGTGTCTATTTATATTCTCTGTAAATCGGAGGACCGGTACCAGAAGAGTTGATTGCAGCTGTGCACAAGGATTTACGTTGAGTGTCAAAAAAGGACAGCTGGACTTATCAGTAGGAGAACCAATCCCAGACAGAGAAGTAACTATACCCACTATACCGCCAATGGATTAATATTATTATAATTTTTATTATTCAAAGGATTAGCCCTATTCAGGGTCTTTAGGTTGTTTGTAGCATTGTTTGTTTGTTTTTACTTTTTGGTCCCTGAGTAAAGAAACACGTAGAACCTTGGAACCTTTCTATAGTTGATTTTATTTACTTTGTATTTGTTTATGTGTTTCTACAATAAAAGCTATTTTAATTGACCTGCTTGAATGCCTGAGTCCAACTCCCTGCGTTAGAGAACGTCAAGGAGGAAAGGCGGCTACTGGCCTCCCTACTACCACCAGGGAAGGCACCTCTGATATATTCATATATATATTATCGATATTCATCCTGAAAGGAGCAAAGGATTATTATAAAATGAGAGCAGAGGGTGGAGTTTCTAATCCTACCCCACTTCCTCTAGAATGTAAGCTCGACACCCTCTGTTCCTGTTTGTCCAACTTGTTTTGTTTCACATACTTGTAACAATTAATCCCCTTATTGTACAGCGCTGCAGAATTTGTTGGCACTTTGTAAATAATAACAGTGAATGACATAGAGCCAGGATAGAGCTAAATACAACCGTGTGGATTTTTATAAAATTTCACAGCCTCATGGACATACTAACCAGCTGGGAGTGGGTGTTTAATAGGAGATACATTATTATAAATTACTATATGACATTTATCAGTGAGCTTTTCCATTGAGTTCAGTACAGGCAAAAAGATTTAATTTTACAGAAATCCAAGCATGAGGCCAGGGGACCCGTATTAATTTCCTTTTTAGATTAAAGCGGCGCTGTCACCCTTTGGGGACATTGCCAAATTTGCAAAATCCCGCGACTGTGACATCGCTGCTGGAGGTCCAGTGGTAGAGAGAGGCAGGTAAATGTGAGTTTACTTACCTGAACCTGTCCCTTGCGAGCACTGACATCTTGGTCTGGTGTGGTCCTCCTCCATTCGCGCATGTGCCAGAGTGCCGCATTGAGGACACAGCCAATTCCCTGCAGCCGCAGTCACACGGCTGTTGGGATTGACTCTTGGACTCTGGACTGAGTCTAAAAAAGTCAAGGGGACAATGTATTCTAAGAAGATTCTATGAAATACTCATTATTCAGGGGGGTGACAGTGTTGCTTTAATTTGGACTTTTATTAATACAGATAAATACAAAGTTGTGCATATTGGAATTAGAAACACACGAGCAATGTATAAATTAAATGGGGTTGAGTTAGCAATAATATTAAAGGGACACTCCAAACCCGAAAAGCAGTTTATGTTGCTGAAGTGCTTTATGTGTGAGTGTGTCGTTTTTATAATTTTACAAATAGTATAGATTTCAATAGAAATTTGCACTTCTATAAATTAACCTGGTTACACCCCCCGCCTGACAATCAAACAAGAGGCACTGTTACTTCCTGGTTTGGTTAGCTCAGTGGAACTAAACTCAGGAGGCAGCAATTGCCCAGAACACCTGCTTTGCAAAGACTTCTCATTGACCTGCATTGGGAAGTCTGTGATTCGACAGACACAGAAAGTCTGGGCGGGGTTAGAAGGGGAGGGCTTGTAAAGGCTGAAGACAAGAGATCTGGAGTTTCTGCAAGGTGTTTTTAAATATACACCGAATGAAAAAAATCCATAATTTAAATGCATGTATGTTTTCATTGGAGATAGATCGACTAAACAGTGTTTTCTATTTTTTTATTTGGACAGTGGAGTGTCCCTTTAGATGAAAAGGACTTGGAAACGAAATGTCAGGCAAAAAAAATGGTATTTTGTTTGTTTGTTTTTTAGAAAAAAGGCATTATACAGGGTCAGTACAAACTGCTACGGGCTAACCTGTTCGTTAGCGGACAAGAGGTCACCCATTGAGACTGGAAGAAAGGCGTTTTCGCTTACAGCAGAGGCTGTCCAAACACAGAAAGGTTTTTCTTTTCTGTAATAAAAATATACAGGTTGTATGATCATGTTCTGTCGATATTATTTAAAAGGTCTGAATTTAAAATATATATATATATATATATATATATATTTAAGGATATAATTAATATGTATGCGAACATGTTATTGATGCCGAGATAAACCGGATTGCCATAATAGAGTCGAGAATTAATCCCCCCACCTTTTTGTTGCATAGTTGGGATTTTTTTTAACATTCTTTATAAAAACATGTGTTTGAAGTTGAATTGATGTAGTCTTTTTTCAACACAGACTACAATTAAAAATGCTAACTACATATCTAAACACATAACAACACAAAGTAGGACTACGAGGGCAGCTTTATTAGCCTATTCTGTGTTGGGGTTTTTTCCATATACATATTGTGTCCACGTCATACTGTACATTTTAAAGAAGATTTTGCAACAGTTTTAATTTAGATTCATTGATATCATCTCTATATTATATTATCAACCCTCCCTCCGCCAACTTTTCCAAAACTGAAGACCCTCCTCCGGTCTTAGTGTTTCCCTAATATTTCTCTCTTCACACCCTTCCCTCCACCCCCCATTCTTAAAGGTCCTGCGAACCACCAGCTACTATCCCCCAAACAGCTCCCCTGTCACAGAGGATCAGCATAGAACAAATTCACAAGGAAACCGCAAAATAGTCTGTGAACAAAGCTTGTGTTTGATTGTATTCATTGAAAGCTTTGTATACAATGAATGTATTTAAATTTGGGCAGGGACATGCAGCGTACAGGCCTGCATGTTTCTCTTATCAGAGAGTAGACTCAAGCTTTCCTTTGAAGAAGCTCTCTTGTTGTATTGATTTTCGCTGTGTGCTGGCGATAGTCTTGTGTATTTGATTATAAAATCCATACGGCTCTTCTGTCCAGTTATCCCCACTAATCATTCCTAATTCAGTCTAACATTCTCCAAACACAGAGCAGGTGATTGCACACTGAATTCAGATGGGGAACCACTCCGGCTCTAGAGAAGAACTTCAAGCAGATTAAACAATGAAAACTACAAAGAGGAAATTTTGTACTGTAGATAAAAATGGGCTGACACCAATCAAAATATATCTCCAAATATAATGTCTGTCTGAACACAGCCTGTCAGTCCATCCCATAGTTATAACACTACATGCAGTATCAGTCTCAGTCTGGGGGATAGAACCCATCATAGAGACAGTCCAGGTCTGGGGGATAGAACCCATTATAGAGACAGTCTTAGTCTGGGGGATAGAGCCCATCATAGAGACAGTCCAGGTCTGGGGGATAGAACCCATTATAGAGACAGTCTTAGTCTGGGGGATAGAGCCCATCATAGAGACAGTCCCAGTCTGGGGATAGAGACCATCATAGAGACAGTCTTACTCTGGGGGATAGAGCCCATCATAGAGACAGTACCAGTCTGGGGGATAGAGCCCATCATAGAGGCAGTCCCAGTCTGGGGGATCCGGCCCATGATAGAGACAGTCTAAGTCTGGGGGATAGAGCCCATCGTAGAGACAGTCTCAGTCTGGGGATAGAGCCCATCGTAGAGATAGTCCCAGTCTGGGGGATAGAGCCCATCATAGAAACAGTCTCAGTCTGGTGGATAGAGCCCATCATAAAGATAGTCACTGTTTGGGGGATAGAGCCCAACATAGAGACAGTCCCAGTCTGGGAAATACAGCCCATCATAGAGACAGTGTCGGGGATAGAGCCCATCATAGAGACAGTTTCAGTCTGGAGGATAGAGCCCATCATAGAGACAGTCCCAGTCTGGGGGATAGAGCCCATCATAGAGACAGTACTAGTCTGGGGGATAGAGCCCATCATAGAGATAGTCCCTGTTTGGGGGATATGGCCCATCATAGAGACAGTCCCAGTGTGGGGGATACGCCCCATCATAGAGACAGTCCCAGTCTGGGGGATAGAGCCCATCATAGAGACAGTCTCAGTCTGGGGGATAGAACCCATCATAGAGACAGTCTCAGTCTGGGGGATAGAACCCATCATAGACGCTCTCCCAGTCTGAGGGATAGAGCCCATCATAGAGACAGTCTCAGTCTGGGGGATAGAACCCATCATAGACGCTCTCCCAGTCTGATGGATAGAGCCCATCATAGAGACAGTCTCAGTCTGGGGGATAGAGCCCATTATAGAGACAGTCACAGTCTGGGGGATAGAGCCCATTATAGAGACAGTCTCAATCTGGGGGATAGAGCCTATCATAGAGACAGTCCCAGTCTGGGGGATAGAGCCCATCATAGAGACTCTCCCAGTGTGTGGGATAGAGCCCATTATAGAGATAGTCCCAGTCTGGGGGATACGGCCCATCATAGAGATAGTCCCAGTGTGGGGGATATAGCCCATCATAGAGACAGTCCCAGTCTGGGGGATACGGCCCATCATAGAGATAGTCCCAGTCTGGGAAATGCAGCCCATCATAGAGACAGTCCCAGTCTGGGGGATAGAGCCCATCAAAGAGACAGTCCCAGTCTGGGGGATAGAACCCATCATAGAGACAGTCCCAGTTTGGAGGACAGAGCTTATCATATAGACTCTCCCAGTCTGGGGGATAGAGCCCATCACAGATACATTCTCAGTCTGCGGGATAGAGCCCATCATAGAAACAGTCCCAGTGTGGGGGATAAAGCCCATCACAGAGACAGTCCCAGTCTGGGGGATAGAGCCCATCATAGAGACAGTCCCAGTCTGGGGGATAGAGCCCATCATAGAGACAGTCCCAGTCTGGGGGATAGAGCCCATCATATAGACAGTCCCAGTCTGGGGGATAGAGCCCATCATATAGACAGTCCCAGTCTGGGGGATAGAGCCCATCATATAGACAGTCCCAGTCTGGGGGATAGAGCCCATCATAGAGACAGTCCCAGTCTGGGGGATATAGCCCATCGTAGAGACAGTCCCAGTCTGGGGGATACAGCCCATCATAGAGACAGTCCCAGTCTGGGGGATAGAGCCCATCATATAGACAGTCCCAGTCTGGGGGATAGAGCCCATCATATAGACAGTCCCAGTCTGGGGGATAGAGCCCATCATAGAGACAGTCCCAGTCTGGGGGATATAGCCCATCGTAGAGACAGTCCCAGTCTGGGGGATAGAGCCCATCATATAGACAGTCCCAGTCTGGGGGATAGAGCCCATCATAGAGATAGTCCGATAGTCCCTGTTTGGGAGATATGGCCCATCATTGCGGTAAGTTGTTAAACTTGTAGTAAATGGTAGGATTTGGGGGAGGAACACCATGTTACTCGTGGCACCGTAAAAACTTCAGTGTGCTGTAGTGATTATGGTTCTTGGAGCATTCCGGTAATATAACAGACACATCATCTGAGGTCAGAGAGTGGAGTCCCGTGGTCCATTCATTTTATTTGTTGTTCTATTTCCTTCCCTTTATACCCCTCAGACAGAGACTAGTGCAGATAGACGGTCACATTTTGAGTTTTCTTATTACTGGTTATATTAATCCTATGGCTGCCCATTTTTAAATTTGGATTCCCACACATTCTGCACATTTTGTGGGAGCCAGTTAATTCATCCCATAAACACTAATGTTGATAGGATAATATTAGCAGAGCAGGGCCAGGTCTGACTGGGGAAGATACACTACGTAGAACAGACACAGAGAGGGTGAGCGGAGGTTTTTAGAGCCAGATATTGTACTCTAGGCGCATATAACACAAACTAGCGTTTGTCAGAGGTTGACTGATTTCAGCAAAGATTTTATCTTAAAAATAATAGGACTGCTTTTCTGGGAGACATTTTCATGACGGGTTTTACGTTATGTGCTGCTCCCTGATTTGTCTTTCTGTAAAATATACATTGCGGTTCTGCTCAGGAGACTGGAGGATAAAACACAGCTGAGAGCACGGTGGCTCTATGATACGTGAGCTATGGTTTCTGTATTATCATCAACCTTCTAAACACTGCGCTTTTCATTTTACTTTTCTTTTTGCCAGAGAACCTTCTTTACCGACCAAAAGATTCTAAAGAATTTCTGACACATACGAATTTGGACTGAACTAATGTGAATATATTTTCTTGTTTATTCCGCTACGATTGAGTGTTACCATAATATGTTTTATAGAAAACTTTTATATTTAATGATACAATAACATGCATTATTTTTATATTTTGTCCCTTTCTCATTTTATAATTATATATTCTGATTGACATGTTTTTTGTTTTTTATCTAGATGACATTACGAAGACTCGTGTTTTTATGAATTCTTTTAATTGATCAACACTAAAATAACTATTAGTTCGGCATATCAATCCAGTGAAATAGCAGCACACACGGCAGAACAACAAATCACTTTTCTGTGTTTAATAATAAGAGGCTATTAACCAGTTAAATATTGTTTTTTTGGCAGTCTGGGTTCATTCAATGAAATCATACATTTGATTATGTTCTTCTGATTCTAAGAAAATGTTAAATGATGAGTTGGATCAGCTCGTTAGTTAGAGTGTAGCGATTACCGTCCCAATTAAAGTGAGTTGGATGACCGGTTTTGGATTCACTGCTATATTCAAAACAAGGACTCAGTTCAAATGCAAGGGAGGATTTCACAAGTCCAACAGCGTCACACTTGGCCGGAGCTGGGTGGTAAACCCGTCCATTCTCCGGAAACATAACAAGTTTCTCGGGTTCGAACATCACAGTGAGTTTATCTCCTCCCCCGCAGTAGGACAAGACATGTCTCCCTGTGCTCTGCTCGGATAGCAGGTGTGTGAAGACTATGGGTCGGTCATCGCAGCGAATGAAATTCCTCTCTCTGCCACATGGGGAAATATACGGGAAATCATCCTCATACCGACCTGTTTCATTCCTCCTTATTTGCTTGAAGAAAAATACTAGAAATTGCTTATCTGTCAAAAAATAGAAATAGTTTCAGCGTTTTATAAAACAAAATCTGTTTTATAATACAGATAAAATATCCAATACTTTGAACTATGTTACGGGTGCCCTGTATAACGATAGATGGAAAAATAAATATCCAGGCACACCTGAGGTTTCTTCTAAAAGACAGTCTTTTTATGTGAAGCAAGGAAGTGGAGACAACGTTTCCGCTCCACTCTGAGTCTTTATCAAGTCTCAGGTGTGCCTTCGGCAGGAAGTATTCCATCTTTTTTTAGTGTGTGCATTATACTCTATTTTTTTTTGCAAACTGTATAAGACACAGTATTCAGACATACATTACGGCTACAGGCTGTCATTGTGATCTCACATGGAGAACAAAGTAGCACAATATGGTTCTACCTACATTCAACATGTGTAAAAAGCTTACTCCACTGCCGAGCACTGCGACTGAACAAATATTAGCATAGCATTTATTTGAAGCAAAGGATGCATAGCTAGCATATAATGGTATCATAACACAGCATTTTGTTTATAGATTGCTTTGCAGACAAACCTAAAAATCACAATTATGTAAATTTGCACCATTTTTATTGTTCACATATTCGTTTATCCTTCATGAAAATATTGGTAGATGAAAAGCTTTAGCCATTATATAATGACCGTTATCTTGTAATATTTCATACAGGTTCTGAAATGTTAGTATAAAAGCAAAAATTTAAATTTTCTGACATACTGCAGATGTAACAAATATAGATTAATAAACATGGTCAAAAACGTGCTTATACGCATTTGCAAGGAAACTAAAGGCATTACTAGCAGGGCAGCTTACTGAAAATGGCAACAGAAAGTAAAAAGAAAGTCTGCAATTGAGCACAATGCCCACATACAATAAATACAGTTAACTCATATATTTCTAATAAAAAGATATATAAAACTGCTACAATAATCTAAATCAATATCTGGACTGTTAATGCAATGCTAATAGTGAAATGGTAGACTCCATTCACTCCTTCCCCTCTCTGACTGTAGGAATGGTATAACCCAAACTGTGTGAACGGGCACACAAGGG